TCATTCCTCCTCCGTGAGGAGTAGACGGCCCTCCTTGTCAACAGCTGAAGTGATATTCTTCTTCCGCTGCTCGACGTTACGTAAGGAGTAGACGGCCCTCCTTGTCAACAGCTGAAGTGATATTCTTCTTCCGCTGCTCGACGTTACGTAGTCTTCCGACGGCCCTCCTTGTCAACAGCTGAAGTGATATTCTTCTTCCGCTGCTCGACGTTACGTAGTCTTCCCGGTCACCTCTTCCACTGTTAGGAAGTTCAGTTCAAGCAATGTCTCGATTGAAATCGCGACTTGCTCGAGGTGATCGGGAACGACCTGCAACATCTTCTTCACGATTTCTGTCTCGCTGATGCCACCACCGAGGGTGGTGATGCTATTGGCGAGCCCCGTGATCCGCATTGGAAAATCATCGACGGATTCGACGTCCTTAAAGCAAATCTCCGAGAGCTCCTTCCGCAGTTGCTCGGCTGGCGTTCGCCGCCATATTACGAGATCTTTCCACCAACAAATCCCGTCGGGTAGGTTGACGCGCATCAACAAGGCCCACTCGTTGTAGTTGGACCTTGTCAAGGTGGTACTGAACGACGGCGGTCGTTGTCTCCCTGATTCACTCGCTCAACGACAACTCGACGCCCGTCATCACGGCGTCGGCCTCTTCGTGGTGGTGATGGAGATGCCGGCACTTGACGGCGGCGTGGAGGAGTGAGCGAGCTTGCTTGGGATGGACCCCACGATGTGTGCTTATTTTCGCCCTTTGCATTTTCTTCTACTCGAACCTGAGACTTGTGTGTTGTTAGGTCGACACTCTAACCACTTGAGCTATTCAACTTGATTGTTGATAGGTTGGCTCTTCTGTGATGGTATACTACCGATCGCTTCAACGAGGCTCTGATACCACTTGTTGACTCTGGCAATTCGGAAGACAGTGTCGACGAAAAATTGGCCGAAGGTTTCTTCGAAGGAAAAATTAGCGGAAGTAAAAGGAGAGAGAGTGAGAGATTCGCTGATAATGCTGAAGACTCGATGTTTTTATTTTACTTCAGTTGAACGGTTTAAATAACAAATCTAATTACAAAAATAGAAAAACCAATTATACAAAAATAGAGGAAGTGGACGAAGACTTCGCCCAAATTGCCAAAACAATGGCTCCTAGAATCACGCTTCTCCATTCGCGTGAATTAAGATGTAACTAAATAAGGCATGACTTTTATTTAACAACCATAAACAATTGATCTTCTTCTTTTTCTTCTTGATCAACTACCTGTGCATCTACTCCTTTCACCTGATCTTTGGCTTTGCAGATCACCGCTTCATGTCCAAGTTGATTGCATTTGAAGCAGAAGGCGTCAGGTCTTCTCCAACACTTGTATGGTGGATGACCTTTCTTCTTACAATGGCGGCAAGGTGGATAGGATTTTTTGAAACCTTCTTCTTTTGTCTTCTGATAATTGGCAGATGCATCTCCATACGTCAATTGATTTTTAAATTTTTTGTTGTTTTTATACCTACGGCTGTCTTGATGCTTAACAAGTAAAGCACCTTCAATCACCCCTTCTTGCCTCATAGACCTCCTTTGCTATTGTGCTTGTAAAGGATTCAAGAGCTCTGTAAGAGAAATCTTTGACAAGTCTTTCGTGTTCTCCAGAGTAGTAATGGTGGCTTCAAACTTCTCTGGAACAGTGATCTAGCAGATTTTCAACGATTCTGGAATCATTTAATATAGAACCAAACAATCTCACATTGTTGGCGATGCTGAGAAGTCTGTCAGAGTACTCTTTCACCGACTCTAACTCCTTCATCTTCTGCAACTCAAAATCCCTAATCAAATTCAGAACTTTCATTCTACGAATCCTTTGATCTCCTTTATTCAGCCTTGAGATAATCCCAGATTTTCTTTGCTGTTTTGAGGGACATTATTCGCATGAAGATCATTTGAGATACAGCGGCAAATAGGCAAGCTTTCGCCTTTGATTTCCTTGTCTTCTTTTCCTTCTGTAATTTGATTTGTGCTACAGAAGGATTTGCTGGAAGAGGAGGGACCTCGTAATCCTCTTCTATTGGTTCCCTAAGATCCAAGTCCTCCAAATAAGTCTCCATACGAACTGCCCACATTTGATAATTGTCTCCATCGAAGACAGGTGGTGCAATAGCTGAAAAACTTGATTCTCCCATTTTGATCTCACAGATCCCTTAGGAAGATAGCTCTGATACCAATTGTTAGTGAAAGAGGGATTGATTGAATGATTGATGAGAAGATTGAATTATGAAGAGCAAGAATGCTCTATATATACCCAGAGAATACAAAAAGATATTTAGAACATCTACCTAAAAAATCTGCAGAAAATCTGTTAACAAACGAGTACTCAAATCAAAAACTAAATCAAATCAAAACTAAATCTAACTCCTAACGGAGATTTGATTAGATACTAATGACAGCAATCTAAACAAATACGTGATCTTTAACCAATATACTAGCTAGCCGTATATTAGACATCAAAGATTTTTTTGGACATTTGTTATTGACTAGAGATAGCATTCATTTAGAACTTTTGCTTAGAGTATTTAGGTAGGTAATCTTCCCCCATATATGTATAAATTTGAGGATAAAAACATTGCATTCATCGCTATATCAGTAGGCTTTCAGACATGAGTGTATCATTATATGATTCTTTTAAGTACATTACGAACCATAAGAAATGTGTGTATATTACATCAATTTTTCAAGTTATCAAATATGAGTATCATTCCAGTATCAATAGGTCATCTGACACAAAGATAAAAGGAAGGGAATGTATATAAATCGATGGTGGTTGAAATTGATATGGATAAAGGAAGGGAAATCTAGAAATGACAAATATGGTTGAAATCAAAGAGGGGAGTTAAATAATGATAGATTATGAGCTTTTTAGTCATTTTACAGATGTTGAAAGTAGATTAAGGTTAAAATGGACGTTTGATGGAGGATATTTTAGTCCTTATACTTGGATCGAAACGAGTCTCTATGTCATATTTGTAATTTGATTACATATTTACTATAAATTTGAGTTATATGAGTACAATGATGCATAATTTTTCAAATTTATGCATTGTAATATTATCATTCTCGTTTTTTCACCCTTTGTAGTATAATTTTGAGAACTCGATTGTCCAAAGCGTGTTGCCACGATCATTGTAACACTCTAGTCCCGATCATGCTTGTCTGGGACGTGCTGTCCATGACCACAATCCCGTTCCAAATCCCTTTTTACTTGCTTTCATATTTGATAGACCTTTACTATTATTGTTGTGTCAACATGGGAGTGTACCACCTTTCACCAAAATCATGTCTACACTCACTAGGGCTAAAATGCCCCAAAATATACTATAGAGAGATATGACATTGTCATCTCTTCGGTTGGATTTATGCCCTAAACCTTAGTAATTAATTATTTAGTTTCTAACAATAATTTTTATTATTTTATTTGTAATTTAATTATTATCCATTGGATGAAAATCCAAAGTTATTAATGTAATCTTGAACCGTATGTAGTTGTCATACAGGAGAATTGTGTTCAAGTAATAATCTAAAGATTATAGTATATGGATAAGGTTGTGTGCCTTATCGGGGTAACACTATTGATGCAGCCCACTTTGTAATCATTACAAATGATTTGATCCAAATCGTTCATGTGAAGACAGGTAAGCGAGGGTATCCTATACAATGAGTTTGTATAAGACTGGACCAAGAAATATTTAATCACTCTTTACAAATCCGTTAATTAAGAAGATTAATATTTCACATAATGATCATATGCGACTCGATCTTAATGCTGAGTGAGTTATGAACTCCTATATGTGAGAGTTTGTCCTTTAATTTACATGGGTAAGAATGACTCTGTTAACCGATTCAATATGCCTACCATTTTGGGGACTTGACCAAATAGGGAGTTGATAACATAATAAAATGAGATGAAATTTGCTCATTTCCATATAAAGAAGGTAGATGAGTTGTTCTCTTAAGTACTGATTTCGGGACTTGAAAAATGGGCCCCACCCTCTCATTGACATGAGAAGGACTTGGTTTATGATTGGATCATAAACAAATTATTCATTAGAGAATCAGTGGTACGATGTAATTATAGGGGTAAAACGGACTTTTGATCTAACTGTAATTATGAACAACTCGTGAAGGATCGACTTGCTTGTAATGGTTATATCAATGGACATAACTTGTCCTATAGTGTATAAGAGTGCAGTTCTAGGTCTATAGTGGAGTAACTTATAGTTAATGAATGGAAATGGATTAATGAAAGATTTTAATTAATTTTATATCATTGGAACTTATAATCTGTAGGTATATAAGATCCCTTGCTAACGTAATGTTAAAAGGTTCCATTTATTTAAAAGAAAATGTAAAAAGTTTATTTAATACATTAGATATATTAAATATAGAAGAGAAAATAAATTTAATTTAAAATGTCAAATTAATATTTAATATATTAGATATATTAAATAAATAAAAAATATATATTTAATTTAAAGAGTTAAAATTAATATTTAATATATTAGATATATTTAAAAATATATATATTTATTGTATTTGATACCATTAAATATTAAATCATATTTCGATACATTAAATAAAAATATATATATTAGGATATCTTACAATATTATTATAATGTGATTTGTATTAGATATTATCTTATAATATATAGAGTCGGACAGAGCTATTGGATCATCCGATTTTGTCAAGAAACCAGAAAAATATAAGTATAATTTATAAAAATAAAAGGATTAACTTATCATTTATTTTTATTTTTGTATTACAAAAGGAAGCGTATAGGATGGAACATGAGATGGGAAGTGATGTAAGGTCATCAATAATTGGGAAGCACATGCATGTGGAACCCTCCAATTCAACTTAGACGACTTGACAACTTGGCACTCAAACAGCCATCACTCCGCCCACTGCTTGATTATAAGAAAACAAAATAAAGACCATTCTTAGCAGCCGACAAAGTGAGGCGGCCAACAAAAGGAGAAGTAAAAGGGATTACGACTCTTAGAGATCTTCAAATTCAGTATAAGAAGAAGAACCAAGAAATCTGATTCAAACTTGTTAGAATCATGGCGGAATCAATTCTATTCAATGTTGCGGCATCCCTTATAGCCAAATTGGGCTCTCCTGCACTCACTCAGTTTCAATTGCTTTGGGGCCTCGATGATGAGTTTGACAAACTCAAACATACCATTTCAGCCATGGAAGCTGCGCTTCTTGATGCAGAGGACCAACAGTTCAAGAGCCATGAAGTGAAGAATTGGATTTCAAGGGTCAAAGATGCTTTCTACGATGTCGATGACTTGATTGACGAGTTTGCTTATGAAACCTTGAGGCGACAAGTTATAGCCAAAAGTCAAAGAGGGGCGAAAGAGGTACGTCAAGTTTTTTCTATGCCTCATCAGATTGCATTTCGTTTTAAAGTTAGTCACAAAATTAAAGACATTAGAGAAAAACGGAAGGCTATTGATGTTGATAAAAATCAATTTCATTTCACGGAGCGTGTTACAGATACTCGAAATGATGAGCTGAAGAAGAGTCGAGAGACTTCCTCTTTTATATATGATGATGAAGTGGTTGGTAGAAATGATGACATGAAAGCAATTATGGATCTTCTGATAGATACAACTACTGAAGTCAATGAAAACATTGCAACGATTGCCATAGTTGGAATGGGAGGATTGGGAAAAACCGCACTTGCACAATCTATCTACAACAATAAGAACGAAATGGAACATTTTAAGTTAAAATTATGGGTGTGTATTTCAGAACAGTTTGATGGGAAGGTTATTGTTGAAAAGATTATAGAGTCTGCAACAGGAAAGAAGCCTGAGATCCTTCAAATGGATTTGTTGCAAAGTGAACTTCGAAAGCATATTGATGGGAGAAAGTACTTGCTCATCATGGATGATGTGTGGAATGAAGATCACGAGAAATGGGTTAATCTTAAAAGATTGTTAATGGGTGGTGCAAAAGGTAGTAGAATATTGATCACAACACGTCATCAGCGAGTTGCAGAGACTTTTGATACAATTTCATCCTATGCTTTAGGACAATTGGACGACCAAAGCGCTTGGCTATTGTTTAAAAACATGGCTTTCAGAGGTGAGAAATCAGAGAAGAACTCGAAGATTTAAATCTAGTCGAAATTGGAAAGGAGATTGTGGCAAAGTTAAAAGGTCTTCCTCTTGCAATAAGAATCATAGGAAGTCTTTTGTATGCTAAAAAACCAGACCATCATCTTTGGTTGGCTTTCAAGGATAAGGAGTTTTCTCGAATTTTGCAACAAAAAGAAGAGGCACAATTCATGCTATCAATATTGGAGCTAAGTTATAACCATCTTCAATCTAGTTTGAAGCAATGTTTTACTTATTGTTCTTTATTCCCCAAAGATTATATCTTTCGAAAGGATGAAATGATAAAACAATGGGTGGCGCAAAGTTTCGTTCAATCAATTGGTACAATTGAGCCAAATGATATTGGGGAAGATTATTTCCTGGACTTATTATCAAGGTCATTCTTTCAAGACGTTACAAGAAATAAGATGGGTGACATAGTAGAGTGTAAGATGCACGATTTGATGCATGATCTTGCTTCTTCAATAGTAAAAAATGAATGTGTTTCTATGGATGTGAATGATAGAGTTGTCATGGAAAGAACCAGACATATCTCAATTTACCGTAGTTTCGATTTAAACTTGGAGTCCTTGAAATTATTGCTTGAGGCAAAAAACTTGAGGACATTAATTATTGAGGGTCCTAGTAAGGATTACAAAAAAGAACTTAAACTAATCCTTACCAAGTTTGTGCGATTAAGGACATTGAGTTTGAATTTGGCTTTTAATTTGACTAGTCAGTTGCCTAAATCTATTAGCAAGTTGAAACATTTAAGATATTTCAATATATATTTATTTGAACTTTCGTTCCTTCCAAATTCTATGACTGAGTTGTATAATTTGGAAACACTTATTCTTGATGGGTGTATGTCGTTACTAAAGTTGCCGAGAGATGCAAAAAATTGGAGGAACCTTCGGTATCTAAGTCTTGCTGAAAATTTTCTTATAAAATTTCTTCCAGATTCGATAGATGAATGGAAGAATTTGGAAACACTCATCCTGCGAAAATGTTTGTTGTTAAAGAATTGCCTAAAGATATTAGAAAATGTGTCAAGCTTAAGCATCTTGATTTACGTGGTTGCGATTCTTTGACTCATTCACCCAAAGGACTAGGTGAGCTTACCCAAAGGACTAGGTGAGCTTACTGGTCTTCAAACAATGAATCTTTTTGTATTAAACAAAGATATTAGGTGTGATTTAAGCGAGTTGAATAGACTGAGCAAGTTGAGGGGATCTTAAAACATTAAAGGTTTGGAATTTTGTACAACCGAGGATCTTGACAAGCATTCTTTTAACTTGCAACAGAAGTTGGGTGTTCGAAAGTTGAAGTTAGTTTGGAATTATTCCGAAGATAAAAAGAAGAATATTTCTGCAAATGATGACGGCAAAGGAGTTTTAGAATGTCTACAACCACATTTAAACGTTCAAAAAATACATATATGCGGATATCAAGAAGCCAAGCTATGTGATTGGCTATCTAGTAATATGCTTGGTCACTTGGTCACCATAAAGCTTTCAAATTGGAAGCTCTCCCACAATTCGATCAATTTCCATTTCTCAAGTATTTGGGTCTTCAATCGTTACCTTGTATCGAGTACATTGACAACAATGATTATCCTTCTTCGTCAACGTTTCTTCTATCCATTGAAAAACTAACCATGGTAAACATGCCCAATTTAAAAGGATGGTGGAAGGGTGAAACTTCATCAAATTCGTCTCCAAACAGTACCACATTTGCTACAACACTATCTTGCCTTTGTCAACTAAAAATTGATAATTGTCCTGGCTTCAATTCCTTGGCTTGCAGCTCTACAGAAACTCCAAATAAGTGGTGTTAGTTTACAACGGCTTAATACGGTAATTAAAATGACGGCAAGTCATTCTTCTTCCACTCCGTCTAAAATAACTTTTTTTGAATTTAGTAGAATGGAAGATCTTGAGTTTCTGCCAAAAGAGTTATTCTATCAATTCAGAAATCTTGAGTATCTTGTCATAAGTGATTGTCAAAGCTTACGAATGTCTTCTTCTCTGGTACAACGTCATACTAATGAGTTACTATGGAAAGAGTTTCAAAGTCTCCGCATTTTACGTCTTGATGGACTTCCCAAGTTGGAGTATTTGCCTACTGGAATAAAACATGTGACAACTCTTCAATATATTTTCATAGGAAATTGTCTAAATTTAGTAACTCTGCCCGAATGGATGGGCAGTCTTACTTCACTCTCAGACCTATTGATTATCTTATGTCCAATGCTCACTTCATTGCCGGAAGAGATTCACCACCTCCCCTCATTAAAATTATTGAAAATTTGGGTTGCCCTAAATTGAGAGAGAGGTAGAAGGAAGAGGAGAAAATTGGCAAAAAAATTTCATGTTTCTATGGTAAAGATTTTGTAACTTCAACATTGAAGAGAAGAACTTGTTCGTCCATCAACTATGTCTAATCAGGTATGCAAAAAAAAAAATTTCCTCTCATTATTTTTATACTTCCTTACAACTAATTATATAATCATTAAAATTGATTTCCTAACTTGTCTTCTTTCAATCATTGATACAGCATGCATTCTACTGCTGCTCTTTACTGCTCTCTCACCCAGGAGCGAAGGATTTGAACTAAAATTGTTCATCTATGAAAGTTCACTCTTTATTTGGCATAATCTTCCTGCAAAAGAATAAAATGAGAACGTGATTTTGATGGGTTACTTCAAATCATTCAGGTACAAGTCTTTGAGCAGTTTTTTTACTGTAATTATTATATGTGCCCATTCATTTGTAATTTTAATTCTTTAGACCTGTTAAATGAATTGATAATGTCCCATTGAATTCTGGAACAACCCAATATCATATATTATTTTCTTTAGTCCATTATGTATCGTCGTTAGCCTCACAGTTTTAAAACATATCTGCTATGGAGAGCTTTTCAGACATATTTTCAGACTCTTATAAAATATGTTTCGTTTCCCTCTCCAATCGATGTAGAATCTCACAATCTACCTCTCCTAGAGTCTGACATTTTCGTTAGTACTTTGTCCAGTTACATGCCAATAATGAACTAACAAGAGTTTAGCTAAGTACATGAGAACGGTGTCCCATGTCATTAACCGACTTCGCCAACATAGGCTCGGGTTCATGAAAAGTGGTTGAACATGAAGCCGTAAAGAAATGAAGGTTGTAGTTATGGGTAGATTTCATTTTCTTTGCCTTTCTATGACTGTACTATCAAAGCCAAACAAAAAAGAAGAAAATGAAAGATAACACTAAATATTAATGCGGTTGAAGATTATAGATTGATAATTTGCCCGTTGAACAACTATATTAGGTTGAGATATGATTCAAAGTATTTGAAATTGAGATATGATTTAAAGTAGTTGAATAAGATTGTCAGTAGATTTGAATTTGTCTAAATTTCCATAATTTACTATTTCTGGTTAGTGTATAAGCCGTTAGTAGATTTGAATTTGTGTCGATTTCCATAATTTACTATTTTTGGTTAGTGTATAAGAATTGTGTAAGGTTGAAGCATGGAGTCAGAAAACAATAGTAGATTTAATCTATACCTATCTCTTTCAATATCCATTTCCCCAACAAATTTCATATCATAGCCACGTTCCTGTCAACACAAGAGTGACTGATTATTTTTTTCTCAAAACGAAAATGGCAGTAACTAGTTTTTCTTCCTCTACACCGCTGTTACCAATCTTTAATGGTGAGAAATATGAGTGGTGGAGCATTAAGATGAAGACCTTGCTCAGATCGCAGGAACTATGGGACTTAGTGGAGCACGAGTTTGTTGATGTATTAGAACCCACACTAGAAAAAAAGGAGAGATAGTAACCAATAAAAACGATGACAAGGCTCTATTCATTATTCAACAAGCAATTCATGAGACTATTTTATCACTGTTGGTGTTAATATAACACATGCGGGAGCAATTTGGATCTTAGGCACTTTTAGAACATCAATTATTGTAAATTACTAGCATGTTCATAAGTATTAAAATTTAAAGAGTTTAATTACTAACATTTTGTAGTTCAAACTCTTTTTGCCTCACGAACCGGTTTCGAACCACCACTAGTGTCTTCTCCACTATCCGGCCTTAGAACGGGATTGTGGAATCCGGTGAGTGACTAAACTTGGGAGGGATTTTGTATATGTGAAAGAGAGTGTTTGTGAGAAGTTTTTCTCAAGCTTTTTCATCAAGATGAAGAAGCCCCTCCAAGTATCATGATCACTCTATTTAAAGAGTCCAGTTTGCATGTTCATGCAAACTTGAGATCACCAAATTTTGACACTTAAAATTCCACTCAAATGTTTGGGATTATGTGGCAAGCATGCATGTTTGAGTTAACCAAATTTTGACACTCAAAATTCCACTCAAACTTGTGGGGTTTATTTGGCAAACATGCAAGTTTGGTTAAACCAAATTTTGACACCTCAAAATTCCACTAACATGGATTTTTCCATTAGATGAAAGTCAACATTTTGACTTTCTTCATTTTAATTCAACAATTAATTTGAATAATGAATTTCAAATTAAAGTAACATTAAATGATTAATTAAACTATTTAATTAATATTTAATATTAATTCAAATGCCAATCCCAATCAATTCCGACACATAATTGATTAAGATATTTAAATCTTATTTAAATATCTCAGATTCTCTCTTTTCGTTTAATTCGTAAATAAAACAAAATTGCGGTTAAATATATCGTATATATGTAACGCATATTCCCTAATTTGAATTCGAACACTTCGAACTCACTCGTCACACTGTTCTATGGTTTAGTCCGATATGAGCTAGCAGAGGGACCTAATGGACCTATAGATCATGGGCTCCAACGATCCAAGATTAACCGATTAAACTCATTAACCTGGTTAACCAACATTCGTTAACTACTAGGACACTCCACTATAGCCTAGTAGTTGCACTCCCCTCACTATAGATATATTTCCGTCCATCAGATATAACCATCATTAGTAAGTCGATCCTTCACAGGTTGTTCGTAACTAGAGCTGGGTC